ATATATTTTTTTTTAAATATTAATGTTTATAATATTATGCAGTATATAATTCTTACTATTGATGTTAATATTAATATTAACGTAAATTTGTGTAATCCTTAGTGTTTATATCAACATTATCATATGGTAGATTTAAAACTCGTGTTAAATTCACACCGATACTTTTCAGAGTGTACGAAACGGTTCAATAAGAGGTTCAATATTTATTTTTGAAAATACAATTTTATAATTTAAATGAAAAATTTTCTAATTCTATCTTCTTTATTTCTAAAAATATTTTCTTATTGAAATAGTTTTTTTATTCAAAATTGCCATTAAGCTCTTTATTATTTTAAAACACATAAAAAAATTGTAATTTTTAAATATTTTTTTATATCTCGTTAAAAAATATAAAAAATATAAAAAATGTAAATGCATTCTTAACATTTTTGTACATCCGAAATTACGCGGCGCTTACATTTGAATATTACGCTTGATGTGTTAATAACAGGATATGTTAATAACAGGTGTAATAAATCTTGTGTCTTTTTTATTACTTTCCTATCTTGCTGTTTGGATTAGATAATTCGGATACATTGATAATGCGTTGTTGGGGTCTTTATTGGATATTCAAATAACACGGATATTGTACGCATAATTTATCATTACTATCTTTCATAATTGTGAGACGTTCTGCCGGTGTGTCGGATTAATTTCTCAGTAGTAAAAAGTACAATATCAATAATTTAAGAATAATTTATATCTTAACTAAAGATTTATTAAATTGATGTGTGTGTGTGTGTGTGTGTGTGTGCGTGCGTGCGTGCGTGCGTGCGTGCGTGCGTGCGTGCGTGCGTGCGTGCGTGCGTGCGTGCGTGCGTGTGTGATTAAACACGTTCACCATTCCGTTCATAACTGTTATAAAAAAGAATCTGTGTCGTATATACGCGCCAATACACAATAGACGCATTTTTTTGCCGAAGAACACTTGACAAATCCTCCTTTATTGTTTCGTCTCTATTTGTCAGCCTTCGACTAAAGACGCGCGTCGCGACGCTTCGACATTGCGCCGTGTTATTGCAGCAAATGTAATCCGTTTCTGTGGCTCTGCTATTTTTATTACTTCATTCATGAGTTGTAAATTGCGGAGTTATTGGCATGCACACGGGTCTTGTCAGCAGCTACATGTCGAACCTTACGAACTCCAACGCGCGTGTAAGAGCGTATAAATAATTAAAATATGAAAATGTTTGGCGTGGAGGATTTGCATTTCGATCCTTGGAATTGCGTATTCGCGTATATTCGTCAGACTATGAGATTAGATTTTTTATTAAATTCCCTTTAATCGATGGTAATCTGTAATGTTTTTTCCACGAATTGATTTATCATATTTCTTTGTCTCCCGTTCTGTCTTCTTTTCTCTCACGCAATACTGCTTTCTTCGTCAACATTGGTTCCCTTCACGCTTGATATGACTCTTTTTAACTTTACTCTGCCGTGCTTTTTGTACACAAAACAAAAACCTGTACGTGTTCAGATTTTGTGAGAGAAAAAGGAAAGGATCAAATTTGCAGGAAATTGTACAGAACGCAGCTCTAAAAGGAACAGATACAGGGCGCCCTAGAATTGGCAGAAAGTAGACATATGTAACATTATTCCTTATGAGTTTCAAAGAGAATTTTCTCTGAACAAAAATATCGAGGGGAAATTATTATTTTTTGCGATTTGTTCACCTCTTAAACACGCTATCTCGTCAATACTAACTCTTGTTACTAATCTCTTAACTTTCGAATTAAAATACCGTTAAATCAGGAAGTCCTCTTTTTAGATTTTATCTGAAAAGAACGAGTTTGTTAAAGTATCTAAAAATTTAGGTAGATATAGGTCTGAAAATAATTTTGTTGGACTATCAAAATAATTATGTAAAAATTCAAATATAAGAAGCCAGTATTGCCAAAAGTTTTGATATTCTTAGAGAAAAACATAGTGATGGTACAGTTAAATACGTCGATTTGACAATAATTTTGTTGGACTATAAGAAATAATTATGTTAGTAATTGTGTTAAAATAATAAAATATTTTATGGACAAAATATTTTTCGGATTCTTAAATTGATTACTATTATATATACCAGGAAAAAGGACATATTATACTTAGTGATAGCAATTATATAAAGCAACTATATAAAAATAACAACATACATGTTTTATAAATGTTGAATAACCTATTGAATAAACTACTGAATAAATTATAGTTGAATAAATTATTTTGTAAGTGTAATAACTATAAAATAATTTATTCAACAATATACGTATATATACATCAATTCTATACATCATATTTGTATAATTATCACCTTTGTAATTTCCACCACAGTTTCTTTTTCTCTAAGCGAGGCAACTTGTTTAACTTCCTACATAATTGTTTTGATGGTCCAACAAAATTATATTTTCAGCTCTGTATTTAGATACTTTAGCAAAACCGTTCTTCTCATATTTCGCAATAATTTTAATCTTAGTTTAATTTTTAGTTTAACTTACTTTTTATCCTTTTCTAATTCTGACCATTAGGAAAAGAGAGAGTAAATTAAACTGAGATTAAATTTAATCTGCATATATCCGCAGAAATGGACATAGGTCACTTCGACATTGAATCACAAATCTCGCTCGAGGAATCGCGCTGCGTCCGTCTTTCGCTTTTTTTTTTCCGCTGCTTTTTCTCATGCACATCCGGTGCTTAGACGCGCAGTTTATCGTTCGCTGATAATCGCTTGTGGATATATCCGAACGCCAAAATACAATCGTTCCCAATTCGCAATCTAATTTCCTAGCAACACACGCTCGCGATTCCACGAAGAGGAGGAGGGCGCATCGGCGCGTGTCGCCTGTCACGAACGATCCTCTCTCGGAGGGCCGTCGGTGCGACCTGAGATTTCACGGTACCGAGCAATCTCTTACTTCTTTTCAGAAAATTGAACAAATACAATATCTCAGCGATATATTGTATTTCATTACGACCGTTCGTATTAACGCACCTCGACTGTTCCAGCTGTTCACATAAAAATGACATGAAACATTTCA